CGGCAGTGGATGATCACATCCAAATACTGCAGGATGCACGACAGGATGCTGGGGCAGCACTACACCTGGGGAAAAGGCAACAAAAGGAAAACTATGAACGGGGAAAATGAAAGGCACATCAGTTCCAAGTGGGAGATCAGGTCTGGCTAAGCACAGAAGACATCAAGCTCCAGCTTTCCAGTGAGAAACTTGGGGACTGACAGCTAGGACCATATGTGATTTTGGAGAAGGTCGGCCCTTTGGACTACCATTTGGACCTCCCACTGTCACTGGACCGCATCCACCCCATGTTCCATGTCGATAAGTTATACCCCTGGAGAGGAAACACTGTCAACGGCAAAATGGCAACACTACCAGAACCAGTATACCTAGAAGATAAGGACGAGCGAGAGTACAAAGTTGAGGACATCCTGGATAGTCGGGTTAGGTGGAAGAAGTTAGAGCATCTGGTGAAGTGGAAAGGCTACAATGCAGGACACAACTCATGGGAGCCTGCACCAAATCTTGAACATGCCCCAACCACAGTCTGAAAATTCCACAAAAAGCACCCCCAGGCGGCAAAAGCTTGACCATCGAGGGCAATGGTCATAAGGAGGGGGGTAATGTCATGAAGTGAGCTACCCCTATCATTTTCCTTCCTCTACGATACACCATCCAAGTTCCCCTACCTACAATAGTCATTCTGGAACCTTCCATTCCATTCTGTCAGTTCCATTCCATTCCTTGCACCTGAGCTATACAGTATTACATCATCGTTCCCACACTCCACTTTGTATATATAAGCCAGCCCTCACAACCTGGTCCCTCATCTTGACCTCTTTGTCATTGGGACCAGGTATGTCTTTTACTTACTTACTTGTATTTATTATCAATATAACTTTGTCATTGGGACCAGCTGCCTGTTTCCGTCTAAGTCTCCGCTCCGCCATGCCACCGTCGTCACCTCTTTGTGACACACACGAGGACACTTGGGAGCCTCAGTCAAATATTACACATTCCTCTGATTTGTTGAAGGAATTCCATGACAAGAACCTGACCAAACCTAAACCCGCCACCCTAAATCGACTCGAGATCCTGATTTCCTTATTTCCTACCGAATTATTCCGCCCTATGCCCCAGCCAGATACCAAAACCACACCACCACAATTACCCTCCAAAAATTTCATTAGATGACAGGCGCTTCATGGAACTCGCACCCTAGGGGGTAATGTCACAAAACATTCTTTTTTCATTATTCTTTTCTTTTATTATTCTTCTCCTTTTCTTTTATTTTACTTACCTAATCACCAAAGTGCTTACACTAGCACTTATTATATTTTCATTTCTGTTTAGATTACACACATCAGCTGTGGTGACAAAGGGGGAAAGCACGGAGAAGGCACAGGCTCAAAGCACAAGCTGAAGTGAGGGGTGGGGCTAGCACCACACACAAAGGCTGAAAGATATAATGATCAAGACGGCAGTGATAGCGCAGGGGCCAATCACTAGGGTCGCACAAGGAAAACTAGTTCCAAAGACCAAGTAAGTATATTGAAGGTAAACAATGACACAGGTACTAACCTAGTTCCAAAGACCAAGAGGTCAAGATGGGGAACTAGGTGTCAACTACTGTACTATATATACAAGGGTTCAGATGAGTAAGCGACAGCGTGGGAAGTTGATGGAAGCGTTTGGAATGTGATAGAAGGATGCAGAACAATGTAGATGTATCCAAGCAGTAACAACGATGAGGGAAGGAGGAGATGTAGGAAAAATAAGGTAAGTACTGTATCCTGTATAGCACGTCACAACATCAGCCCTATTGTTCTCATGTTGTTGTTTCACTTAGGTGCGACTCTCTTGTGCCTGTCAGCTCATTGACAGGACAATGTCATTATTGTTCCACCTCCATGCTTCCTTTTATATTGCCTTATTGTTTACTCACCAAATACCTACAGCCTTACTCATGGATATGAGTGACTCATGGTTACAGTGCGAGACATCTCTCACAGCTTTATATGTCATGACGTGCTACACAGGATACAGTACTTACTTCATTTTTCCTATATTTCCTTCTTCCTTTATCTTTGTTACTATTTGGATCCAGCTACACTCTTCTGCATCCTTCTACATCATTCCGCATACTTCTATCAACTTCCCGTGCTGTCGCTTACTCAGCTAGACACTTGTATATATAGTGCAGTAAGCTGACACCTAGTTCCCCATCTTGACCTCTTGGTCTTTGGAACTAGGTTAGTACTTGTATCATCGTTTATCTTCAATATATTTACTTGGTCTTTGGAACTAGTTGTCCTTGTGCGACCCTAGTGATTGGCCCCTGCGCTATCACTGCTGCCTTGATCATTTTACCTTTCAGCCTTCGTGTGTGGTGCTAGCCCCACCCCTCACTTCGGTTTGTGCTTTGAGCCTGTGCTTCCTCTGTGCTTTCTCCCTTCGTCACCACATTATATCCCATTAGTATATAAGACTTGGTATTTTGTAGTTATAGTCTTTAGCTCTATTCTCATCTATACTCCTCAGTAGCTAGACCTGTAGTTGGGTTGTTTTTGTTATAGCCGTGCACCGGAAGGAAATAGATCAAGGTTCCGGAGCTCTGTTTGAAGCTTCGAAGTCCGGAAACTATAGTAACGGCAAAACGAAGAAATGGAAAGGCTACATGGGCCTTGGGAAGTGATGGGACTTCAGTGAAGCTTTCGGCAATGCTCCCTACATGTTATCTGGGTGTCCCTGCAAAGTGCAAAGAAGAATGAAGTTCCGGAGCATTGGAAGCATCCAATCGATTGATCCAGATGTGATTAAGCATAATAGAGAAGGAATATAGAAGGTAACTTTTATCCCAAGCTGGGGAACCAAACTAAACAAGTTGACCTAAGTACTAAACTGCCTAATTGTTAAATAAAAGACAATAAGTGAGAAGGATTCGAAATAATACAATAACGGTGTTTTCCAAGAGCCGACAGGCGTGAGAATACATCGGTCATGACGACCGAGTGTCATGTGATGTATCCGAGGTTGTTCCGAAGTATTTGAGCCAAGGAACGGAGTATGAAATCAATAGAGATTTGAGTTGAACTTGGTAACAAACATGAAATGGATTGAAAGGATGATCGATTGACTGCGGAAATCAGTCCGAAAAGCATAGTGGAGCATGGCATATATATAACAGTTTTATTCATCCTCATCACTTTCTCATCCTCTTGCTCATCGATTCTCGTGTGATGCCTGGTTGTCTCTTGTGAGAGCTAGCGAGTCGCTGACAGAAAGGAGGAAATGTAGGAAAAATGAAGTACTGTATCCTGTGTAGCATGACATGACAGTAGTCGGACCACTGTTATGATCATGCACTAAGGGATCATTGGAAAGAGTCACGGGGTTAATCACAGGAAATAGCAAAGGAGAATACTTCACAAGGGTGATGATCCTAAAACTTGCAGTCAGACCTTGACTCCACTATTAGTAAAGTCCTCGACGTGTTGCATGTCCAAGAGAGAAGAAGATAAAATGTTTTCCATTTGCAATGACCTTCACAGAACATACTGGCAAGAGGGATGTTAAAAAACAATGATACAGATAGTAGATTAATTTGGTATCACTATCAAAGTGCTATCAAAGTTGATATTTAAACTGAAGAACTACCCATTCAATACCATAGCTTTATACTATAGGTAAGTCAGGATCGCGAAGTGATGCCAGGCCCGAATGGGTTAGCTCATAAGTGAAGAACAAAGGAAAGGATAAAAAAGGGATAATACAGATCTGATAAGGATGGAAAGATAATGAAGGGATCATTCACAAAGGAAATACATAGTGGTAGAGGGATGTAAGTGATATATCTAAGTTATGGAAAGAATTGCGAAGCTTCGTAAGGACTTAGCTTTGCACAGATATGACATAATGAATAAATTGATTGTTGGGATAATTCTTCACATTGTATTTAGTGGAATTGCAGACAATTTATCTATTTTATTTCCAATTTAGTCAATTGTATTCTCATCATCTCTTGCAGACAGGAATCTCCCTAACTTTGATATACCTATTATAGTCCTCATTAGATAAAGAGAAAATCCATACACATAATAATCGAGTGTTATTAGAAATTCTGTCTGCCTGTAACAATGACTCCTCAAAGCTGCATGAAATCTTTTAATATTTTCCCTTTCTGAATAGTAAGCAAGTTCAGTGAAACCAAATTAAAATGCTTCTGTACTTAATCCAAGATCACTTCATATGTTTGATGGTAGATGTCAGCGACTCGCTAGCTCTCACAAGAGACAACCAGGCGTCACACGATAGATGATGAGCAAGAGGATGAAAAAGCAAAAAGCGGATGGATAAAACAACCCAACTACAAGTCTAGCTACCGAGGAGAATAGACAAGAATAGAGCTAAGGAATATAACTACCAAATATCTAGTCTTATATACAAAATGGGATATGAAACCGTGAGAGACGTCTCGCACCGTAACCGTGAGGACCTACAATAAGAGTCGCTCGTATCCATAAGTAAAGCTGTAGGTATTCGGTGAGTAAACAATAAGGCAATATAAAAAGAAGCATGGAGGCGGAACAATAATGTCGTCGTCCTGTCAATGAACTGACAGGCACAAGAGAGTCGCGCCTAAGTGAAATGACAACACGAGAACAATAAGGTTGACGCGTGTAACCTAAATGATAATGAAAATATAATAAGCGCTAGTGTAAGCGCTTTGGTGATTAGATAAGTAAAGAAAAGAAAAAGAATAATAAAAGAAAAGAATAATGGAAAAAGATCGATTCATGACAGTAGATGTCACCATACATACTTAGAGTTCAAGACTAATTGCAACTCACCTGACTTTCAGTATGGAGTAAAGTGCCTCCACAAGCTGCGACCCTAGGCTACAGTCTGTAGTGTAAGTAAACTATGTGGCGAAGACCCGGGGTTCAAAGCTTATCCAAACAATTATATATTTACTTACTACGTTCAGAATGCGATTATCAAAAACATCTCAGCAACCAACATTCCGACCGGGGATTCGACCCCCGGGCTATCGCGAACATTTATGAGAGGTGATAATGTTAGCCACTACACCATATCGGAATTCTTTCAACAGAATGGGTAACGGGATCAATTGAAATTACTTTAGGAGTAGTGATTAGGTCATACACATCACTACGGTTCCTTGTACTCTTTCTTCCATGCTCGATGTATTTCCCGGGAGGCCAGAAAATAGGAACGGATACCTGGCCTCGACAACCTGGGCCACCACCACCGACCTCACCTGGATATGGAATCTACAGCCAGCCTCAGCATCACCACCAACATAATCACCTTGGGCCATTAACTCACCATCAGATTTTATCTGGTCAACAGCCACCGCAGAACATAACTAATCACGCTCATAACCACAATCATAATCATACTCATACGCACTCTCACCACAATCCTCATTATCCGAGCCCGCCGATTCATCAACAGCATGTAGTGATGAATCAAGGCAGCCCAGCGAGTGCGCCTCTGGCACAACATTGGCAACAACAGTTGTTGAAATGCGAGGTGTGTGATACATACACTGCTTGATAAAGCTATGCTGACAACTGACTGCAATTAGATTGTCAGGCAATCTCGCTCTCCGCATCATAGAGCACGAGCAAGCGCTATGACCTCCCGGACAGTTGTGAAATCCGCCATACCTATAACCAATCCGAATCCAAACCCGAAACCATCGCCAGAAGAGCTTTCACTATCGGACTCGTCACCGCTTGCCAACGGCAACGCTAGTCACCCGTCGTCGACAGTCGCACCCATCGCTGAGCCACCCAGATCACGCTCTGAGGTGACATGGACATCGTTGGATATGGGCGGAGTGGGCATCAAGAACCTTCCATCAACTTCTGGCTTATTCTCCTTTACATTCCTCGCAAATCTTTATCTTAATCACAACGGTCTGACCGCAATTCCTCCAGAAATCGCCCAGCTACGAAATTTGGAGTTGCTGGATCTGTCGGGGAATGCTTTGACGACCCTGCCTCTAGAATTGGGCATGCTAGTATCTTTGAAAGAGTTTTATCTGTTCGATAACCAGATAATGTCTATTCCACCAGAGTTCGGAACTTTGCACCAGCTACAGACTCTCGGCGTTGAAGGCAACCCTTTGGACAGCAACCTCAAAAATCTGATCACCAAAGACGGTACACCCGCTTTAATAGCCTTTCTACGAGATTCATGTCCCGTTGCGGCGCCACCTCAAAATCGGGCGTGGATACCGCTCATCACACCAGCCGAACAAGAAGCCCTGCCGCCGTCAACAGAGACGATCTCTGTCGTGTGCTATAACATTCTCTGTCAGCGCGCCGCTACCGTTCGTCTGTACGGGTACACTCCATCATGGGCACTGGCCTGGGACTATCGACGAGAACTCATCCTATCTGAAATTCTCGCCCACGGAGCGGATTTCATCTGTCTTCAAGAAGTCGACGTAACATCGTATGAAGATTTTTTCCTCAAACATCTCTCCGATGCCGGCTACGAATCCGTTTATTGGCCGAAGTCTCGTGCCAAGACTATGTCGAACGAGAACGAAAGACGGTTCGTCGATGGGTTGGCAACTTTCTTTCGCGCAGACAAGTATCAGCTTATCGAGAAACACCTTATTGAGTTCAGTGCGGTCGCGATGCAGAGAGAAGATTTCAAGAAGACGGAGGACATGTTTAACAGAGTGTTAGGGAAGGACCATATTGCGACTGCGTGTGCTTTCGAGAATAGGGAGACAGGGTCGAGGGTGCTCGTCGCGAATGTGCATATTCTGTGGGACCCGAAGTTTTGTGATGTTAAGCTGGTGCATGTCGCATTGATGGTCGAGGAGGTAGAGAAGATGGCCGAGAGGTTTGTAAAGCTGCCACCAAGGTTGTGGCCTGAGCCAGAGACGACGAATGGGAATGCCGTCGATGGTTTCGATGGAATCGCCGACTCATCATTTTCATCGTCGTCTGAGCCGTCTTCTCCTTTCCCTATTTCCTCGTCCTTGCCGCCTTCATCTTCGTCAATGTCACCCCCTATATCACCTTCCATGAAGCCTTCCGCTCGACGCCAACGTCCGAAACCGCCAACATATACTTCCGCCTCTCAAATCCCTCTAATATTCTGTGGTGACTTCAACTCTATCCCAGGTTCCGGTGTATACGAGTTCTTGTCAACGGGTACGCTGAGGAAGGACCACCCGGATTTCATGGGACATGTGTACGGAAAGTACACAGGGGGCGCAGGTTCAGGTCCCGGTTCCGCAGGAGGAAACCCAGAAGGCTTAAAAAGTTGGCTCGGGTTAAAAAGCGCATACGCAGCATCGGCTCATAGGGTGCATGGTGCACATTCGAGAGCACCACAATTGTTGCAGCAACCGCAGACGCCGATTTCAGGAACCACAAATGTGCCGATAAGGACAATGGGTTCTACGCCTGCGGCTAGTGCGGTGAATGGAAATCATCCATCGTCATTTGGGTCGTCGAATAATTTATTATCGATTCATGGACCATCGACTACTTCCGCTTCCCATACTGTACCAGGTCCCTCGTCTTCGCTCCTCAGATCTTCGACCTCGACCCCTTCACCCGAACTACTCCCAACGACGAACTACGTGTCCTCGTTCAGTGGAGTGCTGGACTACATCTGGTATTCCGGTTCTAGTCTCGGTGTAAATGCGGTCCTGGGAGAAGTTGACCCGGTGTACATGAATAAGTGCGTGGGCTTCCCAAATGTCCATTTCCCATCAGAGTGAGTATTTTCTTTTCGCCCTCCACATTTTTTTTCTCAATTTCGCATTCTTGAATGACTGATTGTTCTTTTCTATTTTCCGTAGTCACATTTGTATCATGGCCGAGTTTCGCGTCAGGCCTCCAAGAGAAACAACGACAGGAGACAAAGATGAATATCCGTTCTCATGAAAAGAGTCAGCGGGAATCTGAATGAAGATATAACTGTATTTGGGTGTACGTCTGGTGTATACTACTACTACTGTTCCTTTATTCTATATCTACGTCTATGTCTTTCACATTTCTTGCTCCTCTCTATCTTCCTTGTCTCCCTACTAGCACATACCTTTTTTTTCCTTCATTATTTACGCTCGTTCACTTGTCTTTCCGCCGTTGTGCTTTGTGTGGCACTTTGTGGTACATATAGGTTACATAGGTGTCTTTCCTTTCTTCTTTTTCATGACCCTTTCTCAGTGTGGGTATCGCTTCATCCTCTCTTTTGAACTGATGAATTAGTATATATGCTTGTGTGATCTTTTTCCACCTTCCCTGGCACCATTTTCACCTTCTTGTCCATATTTTCTCTACTTGTTTTCCAGTTGCTTCTGTCCGTTGTTTGTCGTTGAATTTCATATCGTGTTAAGCTATTGTCGGACGTCGCCTACGCTGTACACGGCTGTACAAGGAAACTAAGCATGAAAGAAGTGATGAGAGGTATCTGGTCGTGATGGGATGACCAGGCCTAGGGAGGTACATACGGTGCAATTGCTATCGCTTTCAGCGAGTGTCCGCTCAACGAAATCTACAGCAGAACCGCTCAGGAGTCAACACCATCGCAGAACAGCGCAAAATCGTCTACTTTCAGGGAAGGGGTCCGCAGGGCTTAACCGAACATATCCGCTCTCGCATCAATCCCCGCATCAATCCCCGCATGGGTATTGATTGAGCATACATAACCAGCTATCTTCAGTACATCTCTTGTGTCTAATATATTTCTTCCCTCTAGTACATCTCTGACTGACTTGGTTCAGGGAGGAGGATAAGTAACCTCATCTGGGCGTGGCTGTGTTTTTTTTGCAGTCCTCACGCGATAGCCAAGTAGCGAAGCAACTTGATCAGTTAATGCATTTCGAACTTTCATATCTCACCAGATACCATATCTTCGTCCCAACTCCATCCGACGAGCAATAGTTTGATGTAACCACCCTTTATCAGATTAATATCCAGTGAAAGTCAGACTTGGAAAAAAATTCATAGATCGTCCAGGGTTGGCACTATCACTGATTCCGATTTTCTATGCCCTTGGCCCCGGAACTATCGTCTATGGTAGTTATCTATCTACTGCGATCGGACTCCGAGCGGAGGAGGAGTCCCCATTTCTCTTTGTGAGATTCGTATGCAAACGCACATAAAGCTCGACGACAGAATCAAAAAGTTTAAGCCTTCAACTCAATGAAACTGATGTTAACATTCCCTGCCGAACTCCCCCTCCTTCAGATTTTCGTAGATTCCAGTACAGACCTAGAGGATTACAAGTAAGCCTGCGTTCGTCTGATGTTTCGGACGAAAAACACTGATGTTTTATAGATGTGGCAAAAATGTGACAGTGGACGGCAAGACTCTTTCAATAGCAGCCATCGTCGCGGCATCTAGACACGGGGCATCCGTTCAGTTGGATCAGTCCCCCCGGACCAAGGAAAGAGTCGACCAAAGCCGTAAAACTATTGCGGACAAGGTTGATAACGGGATATCTGTATACGGTATGTCACTGTCATGGGACTGTACCCAATACGTTGAGTATTAATCGCTACTGTAGGAGTGTCCACCGGGTTCGGTGGGAGTGCAGACACGAGGACAGATTCGCCTTTAGCTCTTGGACATGCTCTTCTGCAAATGCAGCATGCTGGGGTTCTACCTTCCTCAACTAACGCGTCAGATGCTTTGCCTCTGCTCGATCCCATGGGATCAGTCATGCCAGAGGCTTGGGTACGTGCGGCTATGTTGGTTCGCATGAATTCCCTTATTCGTGGTCACTCTGGGGTTCGCTGGGAACTTATAGAGAGAATGAATCAAGTGCTATCTGCAAATATAACCCCCGTCGTCCCGTTGCGGGGAAGTATATCGGCTTCCGGAGGTACGTTTTCCAACCCGCTGCTAGAGAGCACATAAGTAACAAACTCCCTTTCCAAAGACCTCTCCCCCCTTTCGTATATTGCAGGAACACTGTGCGGAAATCCGTCGATTCGAGTATTCGATGGACCACCCGTTTTCGGATTCCGGCAAATGGTCCCAAGTCGTGAAGCCCTTGCGCGACACGACATCGAGCCTATACCCTTGGTTTCAAAAGAGCAT